CCCTCCCTCGGACAACAAAATGGCTTGCTCCCGCTTGGCACGTTTGGGCAGACGCAGCCCGCCTGCTCAGCTTGTGGTCCAGCCAGCTGCGCAACCCCAGAAGATGGGTGAATCCCACCACCGAGTTACGGACGCAACATGAGCGTGGCAGGGTCTGGAAGGGACAACTCAAACCCTGCTTCCTGCCCTGTTACGCAAACGTTTGGAGGATCAGCAAGAATCTCTCTCCCCACGTGAGCTTTCGTAGATCACAGGCTACGAATAAGGAAGCAACTGATCACGCCGCTCAGAGCCTTCAACAGACACACCGCCCCATCCCATCCCCTCCACATATGCATAGCCCAGAGTCACTTTGTGTGAGACGGGCGGCTATATAAATATGACAAATAAATAAATAAATAAAATGCCAAGTGTCCTTCAATGGGAGCTTAACTCCTCATGACTTTGTGGGGACCTCCATGTCGGTTTCTTGCAATCACCCAGAAGCATTTTCCCAGGATGTTTCTTCTTGAATTCACAGTAGCCTCCACCCAAGGATCTCTGGGTGGTCTCCCACCCAAATACCCATCAGGTCTGCCCGTGCTTAACCTCCAAGCTCAGGCAAGGCCAGCTAGACGCCACCACTCCAAGACAGACAGACAGATCTTATTCTGTCCTCTTTTGATGTTCAGCCTGACATTAATCCACTGTCTGATCTAGCCAGCTCTTTGCAGACTCACTTCCACCTCCACCTGGGTCTTGAAACTGCTCCCTTCCACGCACTCCGGTGATTCTCCATCCCTGATAATGCATCATCCCCGCCAAGTCACCTCTCGTTTTCCCCCTTTTCTTAACCTCAACAGTGATTCACATTCTTGGCAACCCTTTACGGACCTGGTGACTCCAGGGAGGGGCCGGGGCAAAGCTCCTCCACCAGCCTGGGGGCCAGAGGTCAGAACTGGGGGGGCCTGCGACAGCTTTTGTTGGGACAGTCCAAGGAGGCTGAAGAAATACAAAGGAGAAGCTAGAAACTGCAAAAAACAACAACAACGCTGCACTCTGGATTGGATGGCCGTAGCTCTGAGTCTAAGTCTCTCCTTCTGGCTGACAATCAGCCTCCCCTTGCGTAATGTCAGGTGATGCAAAGGGGCTGTTATTCAGAGGCTGGAATCCAGGAAGTAAACAGCAGTGGATTAAAAGGCAGAGGGAGAAGGAACTGCAGAGGATAAAAATTAATCTCTCACGACCCTGGGATCTGCACATTTCACTGTCAAAAAGCCTTCCGCTCGCCCACCTGGGCAGCGAGATGCTGCTTTTTTCTCCCTGCCTCAAAGGTACACTGCCACTGCTGATGGAGGTTCTGATTAATGCAGAAAAGAGCATTTTTTTCTCTCTCTCTCGCTCTCCCGGCCTTTCAGTTCAAGGACCACCTTACATCCCTGACTGGCAGCACCTTCAGGGGGCAGGGGGGAATTGTGCTTTCCTTTAAACTTGGTGCAATTTACACTGACTTCACAACACGATGCAGTTGTGGCTATTGTGTGAAGTCCTTAAAACTAAGGCATCTCAGACTGCAAAGTTCCAAATGATGGCTAGATGGCGGCACAGAGTTACCATCGGCTGTCTGTCTCTCTCTCCTGCCAACTCATGGTCACTTGGAAACTGCACCTGAGATCTGGTAATCCGATTAAAAGAGGGTCCTACGTACAAAAACAGATCTCATCCAGATGAATCAGCGGCTCCCCGGGTTCCCTGATTGGCACTGGGAAATGCACTGGAGTCCAGCGCCAAGAATTCCTAGCCAGCAGCATTTCTAGCATGCGTGGGTGGTGCCAAGTTACAAAAGCGTGCAATAAATAGAGCCTCCAGCTTCCAGGCCTGTACACTTCTGAATTTCAAAGCAAATGCAGCCTTTCTGTCCTTCCATGGCTCTGCAAGGGAGCCAGGCGCTAGATGAGATAAGCTTTTGGTCTAATCCTGGCCAATTCTTGTTAGATTCCTTCCATGGCTAAAGGCCACTGGCAAAACTCTCGGATTTCTGGCTTTTCTGACACCACATATTTACGAGATTTATTTGTCATTATCTGAATTTTAAACAAGCCCATCAGCTTATTTTTGGCCAGGTCTAGATTGGGGGGCGGGGGGGTGTTACTTCTAAGTAGATAGGCAGGGTTTGTTTTGCTAGACAAAAGGTCAACTTATCAAAAGGTCAACTTATTTTTTTAAGATATTGAAGATAGTAAGCCATAAGTACATGGGATTTACTAAAAGCAGAGGTATCTTTTGTTCTTAGGAGAAACGGACCTCTGCACGGTCCTTCTCTTCCCGTTTTCAGGTCCGGCATAAAAATAAAAGGCAGATTTTCCAAATCAACAGAAACGTCTTAACATTTGGCACGGAACAATTCTGCGCAGCATCGTTCCAAAGGAAGCCCTGTTGCGTTTGATGGCATCTATTGACTTGTAAATTGCAAAAAGATTTTCAGAGCAATCTCCCCATCCCTTTGGTGCCCCCTAAGAGAAAGAGGAAAGGAAGAATTCAAACAGGCCAAGGGGTCTGAAGGCTTGGGGGGGTGCTAGTGATTTCATCCCTTTTATCCTCCTTCCGTTTTCCGCTCCAGCCATTTCGCCAACGTCGGGTATAAAAAAAGCCTCTTGGCCCCCCACCCAGCCACCCACCCGGGTCCCTGCTCTTGCCGGAGATGGCGCAAACCCTAAAAAAGGTTGCCGTGTGTCATCCCCCAAATCCCCAAAATATCCTCGGGAAAGGAACAAGACGCAAACAACCCCTCGCCCACACAGCAGCCAGGGCGCGGAGCTCTCGAGCCCTTGGTTTC